TCTGTTTGTTTACTTTAACTTATATGATTGTTTACTTTATAATTTGTTTATATATCAATTAATTAGCTTTTTAAGATTACAGCTAGTTTTTAATTTTTCTAAAAATTTTTGAAAAGTTTTTTGATATTTTTAATAAGCAGATTTTTTAAGAAGTTGTTCTAATAAACAGAAGCTATTTCTAAGTTTTCTTTCTTTTTTTTAGTAGCAAAAAATTTATTTCTTAGAGTAATTTTTGAGTAAACTTTGATATATTCTTTTTCTATTTTTGCAAAATTAAAATCAGTAAAAAAAAAAGTTTACTAAGACTATTAACTAATAGTCTATTGATTATATAAATAATAAAAAGATATTTTTTATACTACTATTACAATGAACTCTTTTTGATAGTTATCTAAACCAAACTTTCCAAAAATCCAAATTACAAAAAATAATATAGTTAATATATAAACTTTATAAAAACTTTTTGGAATACTGTACACACATTGTTGGACATTGAAATAAAGTTGAAAAAGAGTCACAGCCTTGTGGTAACAGTTTAAAGAGCACTCTAGAACTATAGAAGAAGTAGTTGGTAAAAGCCAAAGTTTTTCATAAATAAACAACAAAATTGGATATTTTAGTTCTATACAACTGTAAAACCTACAAAGAACACTCACAAGAGTTAAGAACTCACAAAAACTAAAAGTTGGTTTATCTAGTACTCTCACTTTTTCTTCAAGAAAAATATTGTAAAAGTGGGCAATTCAGTTTACTCTTTTCTAAAAATCGATACATAAAATCACCAAAACAGTCAGCAGTATTTACTTTCTAAACAGGATTGTTTATGACATAAATTAGAAATATAGCAATACAAACATGACTATACATGTGCCTCGAGCTGCTAAAAACCTGTCAAACATTATCTTCAGACTAATCAGTACCCTATACCAACCCTCTATAATAAAGTCAAAGTTTTTTTTTCTTTTTTGATTTTTTGTTTAAATAATCTAAGTATATAGAAAAATAGTAGAGTAATTTCTATTTAGTATAGTTTATAATTTTTATAAGCCTAACACAGACTTATAATTGTGATTGTATGATATTTGTGAATTGCAAGTTTTATGTCTGACATAAGCTTAAAATCATGACTATCTGATTTTTTGTGAATTACAAGTTTCACACTTTCTTTTTTTCTCATTTTCTCCTTTTTTTCTTTTATTTCTTGTTTTGTATCTTTTATTATTTACTTTTATATCTCTGTTTTTTTTTTTATATATATAAAATCTTTTTTTGTTTTTTTGCTTTCCTATAAGAAGATGGCATCAGATTGCCAAGTGCCATAGCACAAGAATCCCAAGTATCCCTAACATGAATTCCAAGTGTTTTTACATGAATCCCAAATATTTTTGCACAAATTCAAAATGTCTTTGCATAGATCCAAGCACCTAAACATAAGTCCTAAGTATTTTAAGCATGAATGACAAATAATATAAATAATATCCCTAATTGCCTCTGCATAGTCTCCACTACTCCAAACACAGTATCATTTAATGTTGTTTGAACTTTCACTATTCTAAGTATAATGATATCTAATGTTGTTTGAATCCCCATTATCCTAAATACAGTATCAAGTAATGTTGCTTGAATTCCCACTATCTCTGCTAGATAAAAAGATATATAAAAGATAGCTTTTACCCTTCTCTACTAATTCTAAGTTCCTATACTTTAACCTAGATCTTTCTACCTTTATCCTTAATTTGTAAAAATGATATTCACCCTCTAGGATAATTTCTACAGGTAAGGTTGTCATTGTGTGTTTATTTAATAAAAGTTAATCTATATACTGTTACTATCTTAAACTGTTTACCTGCTACTGTGTAGTAAAGTAAACTACTACACTTTCACCTCATATATATTTACAATAGTCAATCACTATACTAGGTGATCTTGTTACTTGATTGTATTATACCAAGAAGACTGCAATCCTGTAACAGTATCTTAAGATCTATAACTCAATCTTCTTATTATCAAATCTTGTCTTATTTTTATCATTTTCATCATGTCTTCTTTCATTCAATTCTATTAGTTTAAAAATAAACTCTTAATATATCTAATGAATCAAATATCAACCTAACCTCTTATATATAATTACTAACATTCAAATCTAAGTAAACCTTAATCACTTCTATTAGTTTTAAATCTGAGTTTCTATTCTTTCTATAATATTTTAAAAACAGAATTATACTTTATGTAAAATCTCAATGAAGATAAAAACATAGTCTCACCATTAATATTAAAAAAAATAAAAAGATACATTCAGAATTATACAAAATAATGTGATCTAACTAATTTTTTTTTTTTGCTCCATTACTTATAATCGCTACTGTATATCGCGAGATTTAAACATTATACAGGGGCGCGATATTATTTGCACAATTTAATTTATCTGATCTGGCAAGATAATATTTCATAGGCAGAAGTTCGTTTGATTTTAAAATTCGCTTTATTAGTAAATCCATTATATCAAGTAGTATTTATTATAATGTGGATCTGAACCTTAATCTATTATATCAAGATTTTACTTAGTCTCCGCTATAACAAGAGCCCGTTATATCGAGAGTGACATGTAGAAGGTTTCATTAGAGTTGTAAGATTCCATGGTCAAAAATAAGATCTAATTCTAGTCCGTTTAAAAAAATTAGCTTAGTAATAAGCTTATTTTATCGGATTTTGAGAAGACATTGCTATATACTAACTTTTTTAAACGGACGAGAATTAGATCTTATTTTTGGCCATGGAGTCCTGCAACTTTAATGAAACCTTCTATACGGCTTTTTTAATTTCATTATGATTAGTTTTCGTTTTTTAAAAAGTACTCCAAACTGTATAAATAATGTAAAACTAAATTTAATTTATTAGCGAATCAGACAAATTTCTGCCTATGAGATAATATGAGGTCTTTGCCTTGAAAATAACCTTATGGGATATAGTAATTACGTACTATGTCCCGTAGTCATTTTCAAGGCGGAGATCCCATATTAATTCTATTCTTCGGCACTGATTCCTAGTTTTATATTAGTTTTATAAAAACAGGATGTATAATTATAACCTTCTTTTACTGCCTTCAACACTTTGCATGCAGGTATTTATACTGGTTTTAAAATTTTTTATCAAAGTGACGATTCTAAATGCAAGTTTTTGTTTTTACTCATTTATAAGTTGACTTTGCCTTGTCATTAGATGGCACTTAATCTTTATTGAATCAACATTTTTAACCGAAATTTCCTGACAATTCTTAGACAATTTTTGACATGAACCAAATTTAATAAAACCTATTTCGAAAGTGATTTAATGACAGCATCTATGACTTGTTGGGTTGTTGCTTTTCCACCCAAATCTGGTGTAAGAATTTCTCCATGTCTTAATACATCATCTACTGCATTATAAATGCATAGTGCTTGTTGATGAAAACCAATGTGTTCTAGCAATAACCCTGCACTACGAATTGCGGCAATAGGATTTGCTTTATTTTGACCGGCTATGTCAGGCGCTGACCCATGTACTATTTTATAATAAAAGATAATCCATTATAAGATTGGGTTATCGGTTCAATTCATTATGTTTATCTTTTATACTTTTTATAATGAAATCGAGATGAATGATAAAATACCTGGTTCTCCCATGACAAAGTTATCTCCAACATTTGCGCTCGGAACGACTCCCAAACTACCAACTAAGGCGGCTGCACCATCACTATTCAAAAAATAAATAAGTTCTCTTGGAGAATTTACATAATATATATCTAATATCTTACCTGATGATATCACCGTACATATTTGGTGCAACAACGACGTCAAAATAATGAGGTTCGCGGAAAAGACGATACACCATTGAATCTACGAGTTGTTCCTCCATATCTACACTATCGTATTTATGGTCATTTTCTTTAACGCCCCGAACTGTCTCTCGCCATAAACCGTCAGTAATGCTCAATACGTTGGATTTGTGAACAATTGTTACCTTTGGCTTCCCTTTCCAAAGCCTTTTTTCTAACGGGATGCTTTGTCGAAGTTTATCCCTTCCCAAAGCCATTTCGAATGCCATTTTACCACACCGTCTAGAGGCATATTCGCTTATTTTTCGTTCGGCCCATGCGACCTTTAACCCTGTTGATTCATCAATTATTTGTCGTTCTTGTTTTACATACTATTCCCAGAAATAAATGCAATTATATAATAAAAGTTATTAAATAATGAAATGTTAAAAAGACATTTTTACCAAGCATTCAGTGTTCTCTCGAATTATTAAGATATCAACGTGTTTTTGACTAATGTCCTTTTCAGATGCGACGGATACAACGGGTCTCACATTTGCGTAAAGATCTAAATGTTTTCGCATGGCTACGATTGGCGATGAATAACCGGCGACTTTATGAGATGGCGAACTAAACAATCCAATCAGATGTATTATGATTATAATGACCAATATCTGATATATCTAAAAAATGTAAATTTCAAACTACCTAACAGCTCCAAAAAGTGCCCCATCACACTCTTTTTTCATAATTTCTAAAGTTACATCTGGCAAGGCAGTTCCATTTTTTTGAAAATATTCAAATCCTGCATCTAGGTTTATAAAATTAAAACTTGGACTATCCTCGATGTTTGGAAGTGCTTCGAGAACTTGTCTTGCACCCTAAAAATGCATTAATATAAAATATTTACATTTTTATTGACAAATGTGAATACTTACAGGAATAACCTCTTTTCCAATACCATCAGCTGGTATTAAACCTATTGTTAGTTTTTTGACCTGTCTTGAAACTGTAGTGGTAAAGCAACGTCTTATCACGTGGGCCATTTTTATAAAACGTAGTCGATCTCAATCGAAATCTAAAGAATAGACATCGATAAAGATAAAAAAACTCCGTGATTATCGTAAAGCGTTACCTAAAATACGTGATTACACAGATGCAAGAGTAACATCAAAATGATGGGCTTTTTCAGGAAGCATTATTCGAAATGACATCCTCAACATCTGCAAATATCGGACAGGCAGTTCAGACTCGAAATTCTAAGCCGTCAAGTCTTAACGTTTATATGGATCCAGAATCAAATGAGACGAAAACATGGTCAAAGTCTCTTCCTACACCGGATTTTTTGAACGTTGGAAGGACTCCATTACCATTTCCTCCACCGCTCAATCGAGAAATGTTTTCTACACCCGATTTCAACTGTGACCATTTCCTAGCAAATAGGCGTCACTTAACTTTGGATGAATTGAAAAAAGAATTGAATGTGCATTTAAAAAGCTTGAAAAGCGAACTTGTGGAAATGATCAATAGAGATTATGCTAGTTTCGTGGATCTCTCTACAAATTTAAAAGGTGTGGATAAAGTCATTGAAGAAGTTGCAAGACCACTCGGAAAAATGAGAGAAGAAATTCAGGCATGTTATTGTTGACTGTTTAAAGTCATTAGTATTCTCTTTTACGTCAAATTTATATATTTTAAAACACCTTTCACTTCAAATATTAAATTTATATTTTGAATTGTATAGAGCGTTCGCACAACTTTTCAGAATGTCGTGGATTCATTAGAAAATCAATTATCCCACCGGGCCTCCATACGAGAAAAGAAGGTACTGTAATTCTATGGGTGTTTTCCCAACGGTATGTTAAGGTTTATTACAAAAACACATATCCTTTCATACGGATTTTAATTACATTTTTTTTTTCTATTAAATACTCCCATAAATAAGGCTTCTTTACAACTTCTTATTAATATCCATGAATCTGTTCGTAAAGTCGAAAATTTATTGTTAATTAGCAGCGAGAGTGCATCATCTCTTTTATCGAAAGACGATAGGTATTTGTTTGACTCAATTTTTATTAAACGCTAATTTATAATTATTGATGCAAGTTATTTATATCCCTTGGCAAATAGTGGAAATAGTGCAAAACAAATTGAGCGTGTAGCAATCGAATATAATCAGATGCAATATCTGGTCAGCAAAGGGAAAGACCTACCTTTTGTGGCGAATATTGACTGGGTAAGTGCAATTTAAACGAATTTTAAGGAATTTATTCTCAAAATATAAATTTTGCAATTGCAATTATCTGTCGAATCATATAAATTAATTTAGAGGATCACTAGAATAAAAGAGACTCTGCGTACAAATTTATCATCTGCCCTTCGGTCGGCTTTGAATAGAGTTAAAAATCAATCAAATGATGTTGCTTCAAAGGAAACTTTGACCCAAATTTTAAGGACATATGCTTTGATTGACCAAACTAAATCCGCTGAGTCAGTGATAAGGACAGAATTGGTAGCTCCAAGCATCAATGAAGTATGTGATAGTATATGAAATATCTCTGATTAATAATAATTAACTACTGTGTTGATCCATGCTTCTTTATTTAATTAATAAAATTCTTTGTTTTCTTATCGTTTAGGTAGTTAGCCAATCAAATCTTGAAAATCAACCACATTCAATTCCTTATACATCTGCTATATCTTCAACACGTCCTGTCACAAAAGCTTCCAAGGCTTGCTATAGTTTACAATATTCCAAAGAACCCTTAGCACTCATGTACAACCGGATTCTTACGTTTATCAACACTGATTGGTTTATTCTTTTGGAGATTACCAGGAAAATACTTAAAGGGACTAGTTTTGAAATTTTAATAAATTCTATGTGGGCTGAAGTAGTAGAATCAATCACCAAAAAATTGCCGGTCATTTTTACCCCAGGAATTCCTAACGTTTTTCATAAGGTAAGTATAATAACTATCTAGTATTTATGTTAGGATTTCGAATTTACTGATAATAATGTACATGCACATCATATGGCATTATCGTTTAATACAGAATTACACCATATCAATGAATTTTGTCTCAGATATTGAGACTATGTGCACATCCAGAAAGTCTTTATTATATTTGCGTAACCACACAACTTACGCGGACTTCATGAAGAGATGGCAGCTACCAGTTTATTTTGTCTTGCGGTAGGCTGATACAAACGTATTTATGAAATAAACAATGATAATTGCTTAATTATTAAATCAATTTATTTTCAAGTTTCAAGGAAGTTTCATCTCAAGTTGAGAATACATTAATTACTGGGATTGAGATGCCGACCGATAGCATTAATGATTTGCAATGTAAACATTCTCTCGAAATTATTTTATTTTATTACTTAGAGAACGAACTATTTATCAATTTTATGATTTTTTTGTCTTGCGATTTAACATATAGCAACATTAAAACTCCCTGCAAGTAAATCAATACTATTTGCAATAGAACGTTGTTGGGCTGATGACGTGTTTGTGTATGGACTTTCTCACCGATTTTGGAAATTGACCCTACAGGTAAATAATTCCTTATTTTGAATCTAGTTATTTTCTTGTTGTTTAATTAATATTTACACATTGCTGTTTTCTTATTTTGAGTATAGTTAATTCAAAGATACAAAAATTGGTTACTTGCAGGTTTAACTGATTTATTATCTGAAACTAACTCACAAGGAAATGATAAGGTGACTGAAATTAATGTACTTGATGTATTCATTTTAATAAATCAGATGACATTGTTAACATATATGTCGTTATTTCATTATTTCGTTGTTTATTGTTACTAGTTGGATTCTCCCGTTTTGCGGCCGTTAAATAATCCGGGAGGCAACAATTTAGCCTCTATAGAAATACAAGATGAACGGTTGTTAAAGTTATTAACAATTGTAGCTCATGATGTTGAAAATATAACAATAAAGGTAATAAAAGTTTGAATTATTTAGAACTTTTCTTAAACATATTAGCTTGTTAAAATAAAGTTCTCTTAGATAAGAGAAATTTATCAAGAACATATTATCACGAGACTTCCAGAATCCATGAATGAACAACCAGTCATCGAAGGTTGGTACATCGATCATTAAATGTTCATTCGTGTGTCTTCTAATGGTTTTTTTTTTTAGAGAGCGTATCCAGTTCGTTGTCTTCTATGCATTCGGATCTTCCAGATTTGAGTCAAAAGATTGCAACCATTCTCACAAAAAGATGTACTGAAACATTAAGCAAGCACATTCGTAGTGTTATAACTCAATTCCGTGGATCTAACACTAAACCCCCTACAGAAGCATCGTACTTTGTCCCGCATATTATTAAACCGCTGGTCACATTCTGTAAGGTTAACAGTCAGCTTCTCAGCGATAAAAGACGGAATGAATGCAATTCGATCGTGGCTGATGCTGTTGCAAACCGGTAAATTTAACATGGATGTAATAATCTAACGACAGTCCAAATATTTATTCGCAATTTAAAACGAGCTATTACTTAAAAAAATTTTTTTTAATGACTGAAGATATTATACCATTGTATTTGAACATCTCACTACGTTAAAGAAAACAGAAGAAAGCTCTAAAATTATGAAACGTTTAAAAAAAGGAAAAAGTACTAGAAGTTCGTTTTTTTCTGGAAATAGTAATGGAGACGTTGGCGAAGAATCTGGTACATTAATGAGCGATGAGGACAAAATTAGATTACAAATATTATTAGATGTAAAACAATTTGGCAAAGAGGTTTGGATTTTTTTACTAATGTTCATTTTTATGATTTGAATGAAACATATTCTAATGCAAATATTTCGCTATTTACAGTTAACAAATATAGGATTAAATCCTTTAGAAATCAAAGGGTACACTGAATTGTACAAAGTTGTTGAGCCTTATGGTATGATTTTAAGCAAAAGTATACGTACAGTTGATTTACAAAGTATATCACTGTTATACAAAAACATAAAATTATACAAAAAAGTATTATTAACCATAATTACATAATTTGCATAATGGTAACTTATTGTTAATAAAATTTTTGTATTACGGTAATATACTTTGAGTTCACCGCACACGGATTAATCTTCATTATTAACATAATTTTTATTTTAAATAATATACTGTAGAAAGTATCCAAAGGTTATAAAGTCTGAATATTTATTAATTTAAAAGATAATACATATATAAATTGTATTGTAATTCTTTTATTAATTTTGATAATAAATAATTTGGTAACCCACATAATAAGATAAATTTTTATGGTAATAAAATTTAGATAATTGTCTTTTATCGCATGTGCAATGCATCGCCCCTATAATTGAATCAAAACAAACAACCACCGGATAAGATGTGATGTTTGGGTAGGGCAATAGCCAATAGACTTCTCAATTTAAAATTTCGCAAGTAACTTTTTTGGTTTGTTAGAACATAAAAGGAGTTTTCATAGCCAAAATTTCGATTTAGAAGCGATTTTTTAAATTTTCACGTTACATCTGATCCTGCTTCCTGATTGTTCAATCAGGCGATGAATAATAACTTTCATATATGGGAGGAAGTCAATAAAAAAGGGTCAAATTTTTTTTAAGTTACTTACTTTAAGTTTAAATATCTCAACTACTATCTAATCAAATTTGATAAAATTTTTAAAATTCTAGATAATTGTTGAGATATTTTTAATTTAAAGAATAAATGTTCTCGTAACAACCTGTTACACGTAACAACCTCTGATTAGCCAATAGTAGTTAGAGTTAGGGTTTTAGTTATACGAAATTTTGGTTATTTTTATTGGTTGTACTAATTGAGTTGTTACAAATAAGAGTGTAACAGGTTGTTACAATTAGATTCGTCCTTTAATTTAAAATTTAAAAAAATTTTACTAAAAATGATTTGTCTTTCTTCTATTGACTTCTTTTTATATATGAGTTGTACAATCTAGTTCTGATTGTTAATTGAAAATAGTTTAAATGAAAATTGGTCAGGTCTAACTTTAACATTTTAGTTAAATTAATTTACTTTCTAATCAAATTGTCATTTGAAACATAATATACAGTATGTAATATTTCAAAATTATTAAAATTATTATTAATTTTATTAGTTAGGTCATATAAAATAATTTCTGAGTTTTTATAAAGCAGACCCAGCAACCTGGCTTATTTTTTTAACTTTTATATATATAAATTGTATAAATTTTTTTTTTTAAATCTTTGGCAGTTTTGCCAAAATCTTTTATTAAAAAAATTACATATATAATTATACAAATGTTAGCTTAATTTATAGGTTAGATATTTTCTGACTACTATACAAGTGTTTAAAGATGACCTGCTACATTAAAGTAAGTGTATACTTACTACTAAAAGGTTATTTAGGTTAGTTTTTAAGACTGTTTAGTAAGACCTCTTGTTATTATTAATTAACTTTTTAATTGTATTTTTTTATAAATATATATTTTTTTTTATAGTTAAAGTCTCTGTCTTGGAGATGTGACATTTTTATTCAAGTATTATAGGACATGGCATGCCTCCAGAGGCTATCTATACATTGAAGGTTACAACTAGTCACATGTACACTTTTGGTGCCTAATTTAAGTAGTCTGCTTACACATTGCTATATAAGTTCTATACTAGTTGTCATACCTGCAAGCCAACTAGAGGTCTTGCCTATTTAAACCTTCTGCATATACAAATCTTCTTGTATTATGAGAACATCTTAAGGTTATACTCATCCAAGTTCCTGATACTAGTTGTTATTCTTAGGACTACTTTGTCCTTAACAGAAAACTTATTAGAGTCTTTATGTCTTACACATATAGGCCTAGTTTTATGCAATATGCTATAGTTACCTAATACTTGCAATCATAGGAGTTACCTGTTTAATCACTATGTTACATTATTTTTACTCTTGTAAAGTTCATTAGAACCTTAGTACCTATCTTTCCTGCATCTTTTCTATCATTTCCTACTAGTCACAACTTAGAACTGGCAGTCTCTTTTAGACTACCAATCTAGATAGTCCAATATAGTATACTTCTATATTTTTTTTCTCTGATAAATCTGGCAATCTGGTTGGTTATATAATTCTCTAGACATATTTGATATCCAGTTTAATCATCAGTTTCTATGAAGGTGTTTTGTGGGTTTTAACTGGTCTGATAGTATCATTAAAAACTCATATTACTTCTTTATTCAAAAATTTCTAAGTAAATTTTCATCATCTCAGTTTTTTAGTCTTCTATGCTTGGTGGTCTTATTATGAGTTGCACTGAAGTCTTATGCAATACCAGTTATATATTTCTTTATGTATGTGTAACATTACATTTTACATAGATGCTCTAAGCTCCTAATATCAATAGGACCTGACTTGGTATACCTGGGTTACAGTCATATAAATAGAGCTACAAACATTAGAACATCAATAAACATATATTATGATATTTGACATAACATATATGATATAATGTTTAATATAATTATATATAAATTTTATATGATATAAAGAGTAACATACTATTTTGGATCTTCTAAATATTTGCAGCTCTATATATGAGACCAACCAATCGATAGGAAACAGTTATCATAATGCAGATATAATTTACAAATTTTATCATAAGTTGAATTTGAACTTTAGATCTGTTACTTAAAGGATAACAACCCAATCACTACACTAGAATCACCATTCTTTCTTTATAAATTTTTTATTTTTTATTGTTTTTATTTTTTTTATATCTTTTATTTTTTTAAAATTTTTATCTTTTAATCCTGATAACACTTTGTATAATAGTTTATCTTGTTGTTTTATTGTTTCATTCTTGATTTTTTTCTTTTTGTATTAATTCTTTAGCTTTTCTTTTATTTGGATATTTTATTGTATTTTTCTTTTTAAATTGTTTTATAAAATTTATTCTATGAGTGTGGCAATCTAGTAAAGTAGTCAGATTGTCAATCTCCAAAATAGTAGTTTGGATATTCAAATCCCATCAATAGTGAAAAATTTAAATAATTACCTATATAATATTTGTATTATAACAACTGTTACTAATGATTGGATTAGGATGCCTATAATAGTGGTTGCACCAGCATGACTGGCATCTGTGTAAGGATAGTGTTATACAGAGAAATGCAAACTGACAAATCAGGTGATGCAAACACTAAATAAGTTCTTGTAATCATGTAATTCTGTTGAAATTTAGTAACAAGAAGTCTATTTAAAAAGACCTAAGTAGAGAAGTAGCTGGATCTTTGATGACCCTACTGTAAAGGCTAGTCTAAGAAAACAGATACCAAGGTCATAGTATCTGGTCATAGTAGCCAAACAGATAAGAACCCTCAGATTAGAAGTCTCAAAAATATCACCAACCAGGTCA